ATTTTACACCATCTTCACTGCAAAGCATGAAAGTCTTAATACTTGTAAAGCTGTAACTATAAAAGTTGTATTTTAACAGTAATTTAGCAATAAGAGGAAGCTAGAATTTACATAAATAACATCAGTCTTTCCCATTAGGCAAATACTGAAATGAAGGGAGGGGGGTCTTTTGTTCTTCAGTTTGTTCTAGAGGGGGAAGTATTATGTTTTTCACTTAAGACAAAAAAAGACTATTAACAGAACAACAACACGGAATTTATGTGTGTTCCCAGAATCAGAGACATATTTAAAGTAAAATATTTACAACGTGGAGGATGTTCCCTGTGCAATTTGTAACAAGTCTACCTTATGAGAGATTTTAGGCTTAAATTATTGATCAGTATCTTTACATTAATATTTGCTCACATAAATGGGAAGACTGAAACATTAGACAAAGTTTCCTGTGATTGCTATTACAGAGTATTTCCCCATATGTATTCCTCCTAGAAAACCTTACATACTGAAAACATGCAAATCTGTTAACAATGGGACAAAGGAATGATTGAAGACAAGAAAAATAAAAACCGTCTGTTGGCATGTCATGACATGGGTATGAACTGTACTTACAAAATAAAAATTTGTGCGTTTTTCTTTGTCCTGTGTTTTTATCAAAAATACTAGAAATATGTACTCTTGAAGATTAAAACATATACAGGAAGCAGAGTTACAATGAACAGAGGAAAAGACAACGAGGTTGACTTTAAGCACAAGGTATTTTAACCTGGGTTTTTAAAAAATACTTAGCAGCATCATAACATAAACAGAAATAGCCTAAGGACTTTGTACAAAGCTGCTCTCAAAACTCTACTGAGGTGTTTGTTTTATAAATAGCAGTGTCATATGGATTGCATGTTGTTGAGAGAAATGCTGCAAATCCAAACAAGGATTCTTGACTGATGCGTGTTCACATATGGAAAAAGTTTGGTATTTACAGGTGGTTTTCACACTTCAATATAAAACTGCATACCTGTTAATACTTCAGTCTGGACATCAAGTTTAAAAAAAATTTAGTGTAGAAATATTTGACTTCAAGTTGCAGGCACTGATATTAATTAAAAAAATGAAAATATGATTCATGGTATCAGGATCAAAAATAATTTCCATTAAAAACAGCATTTAAATCAAAACTATAAAAATACATACACACTGGCATGCAAAACAATGTCCAGTGCAGCATTACTCTCCTGGCAGTCCACAGTGAGAGACTTGAAAAAGTTAACTGCAGCATATACATATGTCAGTAAAAGCAGCCTTGAAATAACAACTTGGCCTCATGATCTCTCCCAGAGGAGGAAGACCTTTCTAGTCTAGTCTAGTCTAGTCTAGTCTTAGGAGTGGAGATTGGACATGCCACCCATTCCAGTGCATCAGCTGCCAAAGCCACAAAGCTTGGCAGACCTTCCTAAAGAAGCTGTGGAACAAAAATCACTCCAAAGCACAGACTGACTACTCTGCATCAGCCGGCTTAACTAGATCAGACATTTGGCTTCAATACTTGTTGCCTAGATGCTCTTCAGAGTAAATATCAGCGAGGTCAAAATATTGCGCTTAATTTACCATTTGGGATTTGGAACTCAGGCTGCAAATGCTGAAAATAACAGTCTTATTTACTCATAATGGTAAACATTCACATTTAATATTTGATTTAGGATACAAGTGACCTGCTGTTGCCTTCCTCTATTAAGATTTTGCTCAGCTGTAATAGAAAGATTTCTTCAAGAGAACACACAATTTTCTTTCACCTCATATTCACTCAGCATTTCCATTTTCACCGTGCACTTAATTCTTCAACCTTAACTAAAACATTCTAGTAACTTCGTAGTGACAAAATGAACTGTGGGGTTATGTCTAGAATTTTTGTGGCTAAACAAATAAATGCACAGCTTGTGTCCTATGATAAAACATGAAGCATAGTATTTAAAACTGTTCAAAACCTCCTCTTGAGAATCAAGCTACTGTTCAAAAGGAAAACAGGCCTTTTAAAATAAAGATGCAAAAAGCCTTTTACCTTGTAGAGCCTTCCAACAGCTTTAAGATTCAATACTTTAGGTTTCCTATGTGGTAAATCCAAGACCTCTATACCATTTAGCTGTAGTTACTGTGACAAAATACAGAACTTTTAATTGTTCCTCTGAGGTTGGTTGAAATTACCGTACTAACCATTTTATACACTGAGGTTATGATGCCTAATTGCTGTGTTCGTGTATCTCAGTGGCATTTTTGATCGTAGGTGACTTTGACTTTACAAACCAGGTAAGCACACATATCTATTCACATGTCCTCCAGTACTTGTGACTCAAAGAAGGTGAAGAACTGCCATATAAATGAATTTTCTAAAGTTTGTCCTTCTGTACAAGGATGTTCTCTTTTACTGATACTACCTGTTTTCCCCTGTTACTTCATCTGTTGATTCTTATGCAGAGAAGTCTGTGAGAGGAAAAACTATGCAGTTAAAAATACCTCAAAACCTGGCAAATCCTATAGCTTGAAAAGGTATCAAAAGAGGACAAGTGCTGCCTGAGAACACTGTCTACAAAGTGGAAGAACAGGCTTGTTACAGTCCATTCTTATTTTCCTAATCAACTTCTCTAAGCTCAGAAATAGCCCAAGTGTTATGTTTGGACTTCCCTGAACTGATGGAAGACTTTGATTTTTCACTATCTTAATACTTTGTCTAAAGAGACTCCCACAACAAAAGTGCAGTGTTTAAACAATCATTAACAAATTTGTTCATATTTCAGCTGGAATTCAAAGTCATTTAAACTATTTAAAGGAATTAATCCTTCACAAATATATTAATTTAAACAAAAAAAAGAATCAAAATACAATCCTGAACTAATTTAGCCCAGTCAGTCCTGTGTACAGAATGTAGGGAAAAAGTTGTGGATAGGAAAAAGAAGTCAAGCTAGCAGGTGATATTACTGGAGTGAGAAAGGGAGATCTGAACTGAGGAAGAAAGAAAGAAATGCTGATTCTTTGTCAAAGGCACCTTTCCTTCTAAAATCTCTCACAAATTAAGTATGCACTGGGAAAAAAGCAAGACAAAATGTTTAAGAATCCTGAATAAAACCTACTACCCTTTCAGTCATGTTTTACCTGCTTTTCCATTTCTGTAAGATGCTTTTCCTCCCCACACCCCCCAAGAGGGGGGGTCGCCATGAAAAAAAAAAAAAAAAAAAAAAAGAAAAGCATTTGTCAGATGCTGTTTTAAAGTAACTTACTAAAGAAGTGAGCAGATACTCCTTTGAAGCTTACATAATATACATGGAATTCAGGACTACCAGGGTTGCTATTTTATTTTAAAAGTCACTTTTGAGCATATCACGTAGTCGTAGGAAGCACTGTTCAGAACCATAGCAATATGCTCCCTCTAGTTTCACTGTCACCTCACACTTCAAAGACATTTATTGATACAGTTTAGTTTCTAATAAGCCTCCTAGTCTCATCTAAGGATTAAATGGATCCAAAGAAAGACCATCTCCCACACGGATCAGACTGCTGACCAGAAGGTCAACCATTCAGTTCTGTGGAACAATGAAACAGCAATGGCTAGAAGCGTTGATCTTAATGTTAGCAACATCCAGGTGCCTATTTTTCACTGTGATCAGTGTGACGTCTAAGAATAAGACAGCATGAGCTCTTACAAAAGCTCTGTGAAGCTCAGCTACACACACAATCAATTACCTTTGCTGAACGCATTATTATGTAACTACAGTTCAGTTTTATTTTTGAACTTTCAGAATAAATACCTATGCCAACGTAAACTGTTACTTAACATTATTTTGAAGTCTTCTCCAGTATCCAAAGTTTATTCCTACCTTTCTGATTGCAACAGTAGGTTATATCCCCTATATAGTGAGTTTCTTCAGGAAAGTTCGCTATCAAACTGCACTATATTGTTTTCCAGAATAAAACATTAACATTGGATACCTAACTATAATTAAAAGCTGGCCTTATTTATACTACTAGTAACGTTACATCTCAAACTAATAAAAAGTGGCTCCAGTACTGCTGGACCTGTCATATTTTGTCATTCTATTCATCTGAAAGACATTTCCTAGGAATGTTTTGAGATTTGAATCTATGAAGTCAAATATTTTTCTTCAGGCCAATTTGCACAGTTAAGCCTTTGTCCCTGTTAGTTATGAAAAGTTGTTTTGAAAAAACAAAGCTTGCAGCACCAGTAGCACTGAAATACTACACTGCAATGAAACCAGCAGAATCATGCAAGGTGTTCAGACATCCTAAACTCATGCAGTAGGTACTAGCTGGTGTACACAAATCTTTCCCCATTATCACTAAATGCAATTTAATAAACTAATAAATAACTTAAAAGGCATTCAACGTAGTAAGACAATTTATCACCAGCTTAACTCTTGATTTTCTGCATTCATTGACAGTTTGTTTTCCCATATGGTAGGTTTGCTACATATTAAATATTTAGTTAAGCTTTTCCATTTATAAATGCTAATTATATGCCAAAGCTGTACACAAATTCAAGAGAAAAAGAACAGTAACATAAAAACAGCTAGTATTAGTTTAAAAAACCCACTGACCTCTGCAAAGTAATACTAACCTTTTAAAAAAGCTATTACATATAAATTCCCATTCCTGTTTTGCAGTTACACAAAACATCTGAAAAATTGTCATTCTACTTTGTTTTGCAATGGTTTTATACTTGGAATCTATCCCTCCAGGTAAGCAAAACTTGTAAAGTGAATGCTTTGCTCCTCCTTACTGCAGGTGTTTTATTATATTGAAAATCTATTTCTGAAGCTAGGAGATATTAGTTGTTACTACATAGCCAAGTTAACACAGACTAGAGTGGCAAAAGATGATGATTTTACGGAGCAGAAATTTCAGATTAACAGTTTAAGTAGATCTTTTCTTCCAAAAGCAAAAGTTCTTTAGTATAGCTACGTACCTTTGAAGAGGCACCAAAAACAAATAGCCCTTTCAACTGAACTTTCAAAAAAAATTTAATTTTCATTTCAAAAGGGATCTTGAAGTTACTAGATACACATACATCCCTCTCCCACGGCCCTGTAAGATACATTCAGTAATTTAAAATAAAGATTCCATATTTTATAACTTCATATATATTATATATCTAATATATAATATATATTTATATGTACATTACACAGATACATACACTCTCAGTCAGCAGGATTTAAATGTTTTGTTTTGAAATGATTGGTTTGATTGGTGTCACTAATCTTCTATTATTTTGTGAATTCAACTGAATTTATCTATTACCTAAAACCAGGAAATTTAAAAGATCCAAATGGAATCTGTGGATCAGTATTAGCACCAATACAAATGGCCATTACTTCAAAATGACTGCAGGGACTGAAATAATATATTTTTTATAACTCTCCTCTTACTGTACAAGCATTCCTGCAAAATATTTAGGCAGCAATACCTGTCAGGTCCATACATCTATTCCTGTTAAATTTAAATGGTATACAACTTTCTTGACTGTAATATACAGTAACTCTTTTGTCCTGTTGGATTATTTCATTTTTCATGGAGAAAAGTGATCTATAGCTATCCAACAGAATTTTTTTTTACATCCCCTCTCTCCTTCTATGGCTCAGATTCAAGATTTAATCGATAGGCAGCCACCATCACTATAACCAGTACCCTTCTAACACAGTTCAGTCACTGACTGTTGATGCTTAAAACACAAAGTTTTGAGGTCGGCTTGCTGTTTATGAAAACGAAGATACTCAAAGGTCGTATCATTTCAGCATGCTCTCCACCACCTGCCACACAATAACATCAGTCAGTCCTGATACTATAATTCAATTAGTTACCTACCATCTGCGTAACAAAAATAACAAACCCAGTTGTGATTTTAAACATTATAAGAATATTCACCCTGAGAACACAGAGGAAGTGTTTAAAAAAAATTCTGATATGTTTTCTCTTCCTATATAGTTTTCTTCTTTTCTCTTCATCTCCTCCTGGGTACCTGGGTTTGTGTCTAGCATTTGATCTCACACTTGTGTTGTCAGTTGACCTGTTCACGCCACAGTCAGGTACTGGTGATAGAAAAGCCCAAAAAGGCTTGTAGAAAAGAGGCAAGCAGCAATCCACCAGGTGAGGAAAGACAGGAGACCTCGGAACAGCAGAGGAGTGAAAATATTCTTCAGGCTTCCCAAAGCCATTGTTATTTGTACTACAGTTACTTTCATCTTTCCATCAGCAGGTGGAGACTCAGAATAAACTGAACTGGGAAGCAGACTGTTTTCTACTGGAGTGTCAGAATTCAATTCTGGGTAGATGACCCAAGAATAATTACCTGTTAAAAAAAACGAGTAACAGATTTTTGTAGAATTCAAATTCTGTTATTTCTATCACTTTATGATCATCTTATATATTTTTACACACACACACACCAAAACAAGAAAAAGAATATTTTTTTTCTAAATTAGTCAATACTAACTTCATCATCTGCATGGCTTCCTGATCATACTAGGAAGCTATTAGGGTAGCATTCATCTAATTTTTTGACATCCTAACATCTATATGTGATACAGTTGTTGTGGGACCCCTGTCAGTACTGGGTACGATTCATCTCACCAGATGCAGATGTCTACTCCAGAACTGGATGAATCACAGCCTAATAAAGCCTATCTCTTTCGGCTGACATTTTGCAAAAAGAATACCACGACTGCACGGCAGGCTGTAAAAAACATCCCTCACAAGAAAGAAAAAAAATAAACAACCCAGAAGGACATCAGATGTCCCAATAATGAAATGAACCCCTTGTCTCACAATTTCAATTCAAAAATCCTCCTGAAGATTGAAAAGCTGAAAAAAAATCCTTTAACATAAGGTTAAATCAACAATGCTTTATACAGCTCACTTTTAAGTACTTTTTGAAAGACAAGTATTTCAACAAAAGGAAACAGCTTAATTGGTTGTATTACACAATTTCTCACAAATAAACCAAACAAATTAGCATATAATTGAAAGATGTCAAAAGCAGCAACAGGACTGCTTCAAAGCCACCCATCAGTATGTTTTAAATTGCCAGCAAATATAACTTCTGTATTGCAAGTACCCATGCATTCCAATTCTCTTTAGTGAGGTAAATATATAAAATCCCTGTGTAGAACAGAACACGTTTTTGCTGATCCAATTTTGCATACCTAGTGTTTTCAAGAGCAGAGTTGTGTGAAGGAGCATTACCAATGGTGCAACGTACTGCAATGCAATTACACAAAGATAATAGAACACACGAGCCACCTGGGAAAAGAGAAGAGAGTAATTCATGAGTTCTGGCTGATCAAAGCAAACCTCTATGAACACGTCTAGGAAAACCAAGCAATTTATTAAAAAAGCATTTATGCATTAAAGCTGTTTTAAAAGTTTTCTAGCACATCTTGGCATGTGACATACAGTCTTTAAAAGACCTAACAAGAAATTCCTATAATGAACTCTAGTTTCAGGACATTTACAAATCTGAGATGAAGTGCTGAAAGGAAATAATTAAAAACATCACTTCTGTTAAAACAAACAGAATCAATTTTGCTTCTGCAAACTGCATGTCATCATCCAAAGATTCTCATTTCAATACACCAGAATCAAAGCTAAATATATGTTTAATTTTTAAAGTCCTCAGTGATTTACAAACTAAATCCCATTTCAAAAATGAAGTAGTAGTCACAGACCAAAGCCTCAAAAAAAAGCAAAGTTTGGTTAATACTGCAGTCCCTTTTCAAAGGCAAGATATAAGATTTCCAGCTGTGAGACACCAACATTTAAAAAACAGTGACAAGATGATTTTTTCATTAGTAGTTGATCAATAGCAGCATTTAAATGGTCTTTATTTCAAGTATACATTATGGTTCATTGAAATCCACTCAGATGTATCCCTTCCACTGCTCCCAATCTGTTCCATCTTTCTCAAGATTGTTACATTACCTATTTTATAAGCTATTGACCTAAAAGACTAGACCAAATAAAGAAGCAAAAAAGTCATAAAATCAGTAGAAAGCAAGCAATGAAATAAAGCTAACTGGATTTTAGAAAAGAACGGAATACAGGGTGGGAAAAGAGATGAAGGCAGACATGACATTTTTGGAAATACCTCTAAAACCTCGAAGGGCTTCGTGATGAGCAAGCATCAAAAAACTAAGATGAGAAGAAAAATACTAATACACTGACAGAAGAAAAAGCATGAGACAAAAAATATTTTAAGATAATTGATGGAATACGATAAAGACAGCAAATCAAAAGTAATGATCACTGTAGGATGACAGATAGGAAGACTTTACTGGCAGAAGTTCCAGAAAAAGATTAAGCAAAAGTTGCTAGTAAAACAAGACAGGACTTCCATTTAGGGGCTATGGCCTTCTCAAAGAGAAGATACAGAGATACTGGATAAACAGATTTAGGAAACACCACACAGAGAAGACATTATTGTTTTACAGATAGGGTGAAAGCTCCCAGAGCTAAAATTATGCATTCACAGCAATAAGCACAGTTCTGTCTTAACCAGTTGCTGCTACCTGTATTTCCTAACATTTTTTGAAGCAGATTGCTAGCCACTTTGCTTTTAAATAACTACTGCATAGTCTACTTACTACCCTCAGTTCCTCAGTGAAGCCAAGGACAAGATTATACGTAATAGTGACAATCCCAAGAGAGGAATCTTTGTTTTATGGCATACTTCAATATTCTTCCTGCAATACACCCCAACTCAGCAGGATCATCAGGCAGCACTATCATGCAACACTAAAAATGTAAGTTTATGTTGCAGGCAACATACAACACCATTTCACAACAAGCTTATGAATTTCTACCTCCTCAATTTGTTGATGGTATGCTTTATTATGTCTCTTTAAAAAAAAAAAAAAAAACCAACAAAAAATCAAAGAAATGTTTCCTTTGCCACAGTAACAGGATGGGCAGACAGTTCTGTAACTAGGTTCATACATTTCAGAGTGGTCTGACAGAACTAGACATGTCTCATTTCATTCTAAAACATAACCACCTTATCTCAAATTTTGCCTCAATTTAAAAAAAAATCATAGTTGGGATTAGGTAACAGTGTTTTGCCCTACTATCTAAACTAAACTTTCTTTTTCCATGTTGTAGCTACAGATTAGGACTCACCCTGTGCACTCTTCAAGATCTATTCATGCTGCACAGGAACACATCATATTTGTACATATTTGTAAAGAACAGTTCATGAAGGGATCTTTTATAACAACTTCTGAATAACTTTAAGACATCTGCATAATATGGATGATACATCTCTGCATAGTTTGGTTTGCAGAATTTCTCTGTAATTATGCTATTTTTATAGGAGATATAGTTTAGAAAGGGTCATTCAGATTTCAGCTCTGGTGCCACAGAAGACATAACAAACGGGAAAAAAACCCATTTGTACAGACAGGGCACTCTAAATATGTAACCTCAGAGACACCATACTTACCATTTTCTGTAAATCAACCACGCTTATTCTGCCAGCTTCCTTTTTCATCTGATCCACACTTTTCTGGGCTAAATTCAGATAGGCCTGTAAATGATGACGCATCATAGCCAACCGTAAAGCACACAACAGGATTATAATCCACAACCTCACAGTATCAAATGTATCTTCTGACATTCTGTGGATAAAAAAAAAGGATAATGCTGTTTTCCAAAGGTCACCTATCGCTACAGTTAATTGTTTGTATCACTGGTAAAGAAACCTTGAAGCATGTTGTCAAAAATACTTAATGACCTATCTACAGTTATGAAATTCATATGCAAGTTATATTCACTTTTGCCCTTCGCGTCTCTCTACTGCTACTTCTTAGTAGCCCTACTGCAGCATTAGATACAAATTAGTATCCATTTGTCTGTAAACAAGAATGGCTCTTAAATGTTTCAATTCTGAGTAATGAAGATAGGACACTGACTCAGATAATTACAGGCTTCAAGACACAGTTGTAGATAGCAAATGTGTCCTTCAGTTGCCTTAGATACCCTGTTACAGCACAACCCTCATTTTAAGATAAACTGACAAACAAAATGGAAGCACAAAATATGTGTATTTGCAATGTGTTATGTAATAGTTCAGTGGTCACAGAATTACCTTAGAAGTATATCTTAAGTGTCAGCCAATCATACCTGTTTCAAGTCTATTTGAGTACTACTATTTTGAATTACCTAGACTAATACTGACAAACACAACCACTGGTGCTACTTACATAGTATTTATTTCAAATACCATTCTTCCTGAAAATTCGTTCCCTTTTTATGTTTTAAATATTTTGGCTATCAATTCCATATGCACTTCACCTACACACAGATCTAAAACAAATTGCTTAGGTCAGTTCTCATGCCAATGTATCTTCACTGTCTTCAGCAAAACCACTTCTTTCCTACACCAAAATATAGAAAGTTCCAGAAGGTGCCAGTGAGGTGGTATTCCACCCCTAGCAAGAACAACCCATCACTGCCAAGGAGATGCTGGAAGATAGCAGCTTTATGGGCACCACCACCTTAATGTTCAACACTCTGCAACTCATTCTTGTTCTTCTGAAATAACAGAAGCTCTTGAAAGCTCAGCTGCAACTTCCACAATACCTTTGACAGCAGATGCTATGAAATTTTAAGTCTTTCACATTTCTATAACTTTCACAGTGCACAATTTAGACCTGTTTTTTTAATTAATACCCCAGAAATAATTTTTAAAGGGAGTCTTACAAAGGGATGCTCTCTTTGCCCAAAGGTGGGTTCATAATGTAGTCCTTAGTGATTGGTTTTACCCACAGCAGAACCATAAATAAAGGTGCCAGGAAGTTTATATGTAGCAATGTTCTGAAAGAGAAAAGGGGGGAGGGGGGGAAGTTATTAAATACAAACAATTACTACTGTTGAAATGGGGGATACAGATTCAAAAGGAGAAATCCAAATTTTAAAATAGTTGTGAGAAACGTAACTAAGAAATTGCTTCCCTATTTTATAGCTGTGACTTACTTTTCAACAAAAGAGTAATATTATACACTGTGAAGTCACACGGTTTGCAGCTTTTAAAAAGTGCTCTTAGACTACCTAAAAACTTGATTTATTCCAAATAATCTAACCAAAGGAGCTACCCGCATTATGTCACACTATTGTAAAAGACAGTTGAAAATTTCTGTATGATGGCATTAACACCAAACTGCACTAGCTATTACAGTTTTAGTCTAGAGAGTCAGAATCACACATAACTGTGGAAAATATCCTGCTATATTACTATTTTTTTGCTTTATCAAAAATGTCCTCAGATTAATTTCCATTATTTATACTGACCAGGGGAAACAGTTCTCAGAGTTCAGATTTCCCAGTTCAATTAAGATTTCTACTTAGGAACCCTGACTAAATGAAACCTGATGCTTACATTCAAGATACTTGGACAAAAAAAAAAAAATAAAAAAGCCAGCACAGCTATTCCATTTTAGAAGCATTGCACAAAAGTGCACAGTTAATGTAAAAGTAGTACTCTCTCATAATCTTTGAGTACAAAACAGACACCAGAATTTAAAAAGAAGAGATAGCTTTCTGGAATTTTTCCTGAAACTAATATCCTTCATTTCTGAACCCCCCCCAGTCATTTTTCATTACTCATGAAACAAAAATGGTTGAAGAGTTCTGTGTTGTGGACCTGGTGGTTTTGATAGTGCAATGATTCCTCTCTAACTGTATCAGCTTGTCCATACTTCCACCTCCAACCAGAATGCTTCTACATTATAGAAAAAATGATGTAATCAAAAGTTATTCTAAATAACTCAAGACCTTACTGTTTTCAAACTACCAAGCTTCCTGAAACCATTAAAGTGTTTGCATGTTTCAGAAGATGTCATCACACACATTTAAATCATTGGTTTCAGATGAAGAAATAAGCACTGCTAGTTATTCTGTGTTGCTAGGGAATATGACAGCATCAAAGAATAGTCCAAAACATTTCAGTGCCTTGTGAAAGCATTTTACCTGAGCTTCTACTTATTTAAGACATCCTACTGAGTTAATGGACTGGAATGTGCCAAAGGGTGGCAAGAATCCCTTTCTGTTTATTCGAGCACAGGGAGAAAGGCTGAAAGACTCTTGAAAATGAGGGAATGTGTACAAAAATGGTACAAATTGATTAAGACGACTTCAAAATACATGCAGAGAAGGATATTGCTGCTAAAGAAAAAAATTAGAGCAGCTATCAAAACTGAAAAGGACACCAGATTATTTTTACTCTGTTTACCCCCAAAAAAACTTACTCCTTACGTACATAAAAGAACCACATTAATAATTTTGAACGTATTAGTGAAGTAGTAGTTAATCATTAATTTTTTTTTTTTTTTTTATTTTTTTTTGGTCAGTATTCCCTGTAAATTAAGTCTCCCATTCTGTAATGGAATGGGGTGTTTTCGGTTTTTTGGGGGTCTTTTTGTTGTTGTTGTCGGTGAGCTTGGGTGCTGGTGAGTGTTTTAGGCATCTTTGGAGATTTAGAGGGTTTGGTTTTTGTTTGTTTCAAAAGTACAGCATGTATTTGATTGCCGAGAAAGGCACTGTTTTCCTGCACCTAAATTAGAGACCTGTATTAGTGACACGTCATCTTCATTTACTACTCACCGTTAATCACTGTCAAACAACTGCAAGTAGTCAATAAATGATCTACTAATTCATAAAAACACATCATTAAAGGCAAATACTGATCTCTTCAGGCCAAACAGAACATATCATTTGACAATGATTCTACATTTATAATTTCATTAGCTAATTACATTGGTATCTGACCAAGTTTTAATTCATTTAACAAAATTTTTATATTGTTCCAGTTGAATAGTCAAAGTATTGGTGGACTTTTGAAAATAATTTGCTTGGTGTTGCACAAAGTTATCTTCAACAACCAATTCCAATATCCTCTAAACATTAGAGAAGATTTATTTTTCAGAAACCCATTCTAGTGGATATTAATTACCCTTCTGGTTCTTGTTTAATGGACTTCTTTTTCAGACATTTTATATTTCTACCTAGGATCTCATGTCCACAGATCAAGGAAGATGCTGGAAAATTACAGGATATTTACAGAAAAGGCAGAAGAAATTTTAAAATATGAAGAACTACAAAAATGAAAAACTAAGCAGTTTATTTAGCTGAAAAGAACAAATTAGGAAGTGACTCAGTCACAGCCTACACATAGACAGAAACTTAAGAGCAGATACAACAAGCCAACAGCTTGCAGCTGTACCTAGATGCCTTCAACTACAATAAGTGCAAGTATAACACAGAGTAGTACTTGGTTATAAATTTACCAAGAGTGAAGGACCCACTTTAAACACAGATTAATTTTTAAAATGGGCATTTCTGAGGGAAAACAAAACAAAACAAAACAAAAATGCAGTTCAAACATAAATAATTTTCATATCAGAAAATGTAACGGTTCTCTTAAGAAAGCGACCAGACTAAATGATCACAATGGCCTCTGCTGCAGAATCTGTCATTAATGTCTTAAACATCAAAGGTCTAGATCTATGACAGACATTTGGAGTTTATCCCTCAACCACAGAACACTGAAACGAAATAGTTAAACCAGAGAAAGCAATTTACTACTAAACTCAAGGACAACTGAAAATGAAAATACTCCCTTAGACTGGTATTAACATCTGACCCTTATCAAGTATTTTGGGTCATCTTTTTTTTCTATCTTACTCTTAATTTATTAAAGGCATGATGCCCACCTGGAGGTGGGGGTGGGGAAAAAAAAAAAGTCTGTGGCTGCACCTCTACTTCCCAAAAGTTATTTTAACTTCCGAAAAGATATGATGAAGGAAAGGAAGCAGTAAGCAGAAACATTCATGGTGGAGCTCTTGCAGGAGGAAAGGATAGCTCCTTTATTTGGGACTCTAATTACAAGGCAAAGAACGTAAAGACTGGCAGAGCACAGGTTGAGCAGAAAGAGGCAGGTGGCAAGTCTGCTCGAGATACGGAAAGCAGGCAGCAACAGAAGTCTTAGTCACTACCTTCTCATTGGAATAGTTTGCTTTGTTTATTTTCAGACATTAAAGACTTAAGACTGAGTAGCATATACCTATGTGCATATATTTTCTCTTACTGTGTTATTTTTTCTGTTGCTAAATTCAGAGCATCCAGATGCATTTGAGCCAGTCGCAAGCCAGGGAATGTCAAAAAAGCACCAATAAGTGAACACAGAACAGCCAGGAACAATTTGAAGGTTAGTTTAGACACAGGACCCCTAAAAGAAAAGAAAGGAAATAAGCATTTTCTTGGGGAGTAAGTTGGATGGGGGGGTGGGGTGGGGGTGAGGGTGGTATCAGAGACTACTTTCAACTCTACAATATCTAACATTTAATAAAAAAAGAAGACAGTATTCTATAGTTCTACTCTGGAATACCAGCATTATTACAAACCAATCAGGAGTTAAAATTAAAAAAAAAAGTCACCTATTTATTTCCTAGAAAAACAGAAAACCTAAGCTACTGCCTATAAGATGTTAGATTTGTTAGCAGAGAAAAAAAAAAAACACACACAAAAAAGGAATAATTTTATATTGTAATTAAAAACAAATTATATAAAAAAATAGCTAATAGAATGAATTTAATGATTATGTTTTTGAGAGGAACAGATGCATCATAAGTTTAGCTGGGCAAAGACAAAATGGATATTTAAGTTATACTTACATTCTACCTTTATCCACTAAAAAGTTCTATCAAACTGTTGTAACTGCAGTTTTTCACAGATTTATCTAAAACATACATGTGGCCAATTAACATATCTCTTCCAAGTGTTTATTATAGATGGTTCTAATAAAATATGGATTATAAAAAAAACTTACAGAAAAAAATATCCAAGATCAACTGAATTACGAAATTAACACTAGACTACACAAAAAAACCCCACAAATGACATGTAACTAACGCAGATTAAAGAGGAACAAAAACAAATCTAGTGATCCACATGAGTTTTCAGATTCTTTCTTAATCTATGTCATACAAACTACCAAGAGACACCATCATCAACTCAATTGCTGCTGTAAATAGCTAAAGCACTGTGAAAGCACAAAAATCCCCAAACACTTAACTGGAAAATTAATACAGAAGTTAGTAACTTGCAATAGCTTAGAGTGAAGAAAGGCTAAGAAACACATCGATCCAGAAGAATCTTCCATGAGTTTATTCATAAATGACACTAATCTAGTTTGAGGAAACTTCTGTTCCTCAAAAATAGAGATTCTGTAGCTTCTGCATGATACTTGAGAGCTATCAAGCAAGAACTTCAAAGTTGTGCTCCCACAGTGATGAGACACCCCATAAATACAGTTTAGACCATATGTATAAGGAAAGAATTGTAATAGAAATCCATTTTACAATATACAGAGGCTGTCTCACAAGCTATGCCATGTTCCTTTGACAGTCTATACAACACTTGGATGTCCTGTAGCAAGAAGGTGTTCTTCTATAATAGGAAAACACTACTACAACCTGAGAACAGGACTGAACACCAAAATTTACTCCTAATGCCAACTTTCTCACAAGCTCCATCTGTAACTTTTGCACACTCATCCTCTTGCACACCACAGGAATGGCAAAAAATACCCATCATCTGTTTTAGGCAATCCTTGCAAAGCTGAAAGGAATTACCATGAAAAAAATGTTTATACTTTTGAATTGTATTTTAACTACAACCAAAATGTCAATGTAGAAGCTATCATCAAATTAAAAAGAGAAAACACAAATGAAATTTAAGTTACTTGTGAGTACTCATGAATTATTTTCATTAACCAACCTCTTCACACTATTATATAGAGACTATAAGACCATACAAGAGCAAAACATGCAAGACAAATGGTTGCTATGAAAATTCAAGTTGTTCAGTTACAAATGCACATATAAAATAGACAAATATATTTCTAGAAACTTACTGGGACTCCAAACCCTGCTTTTCCAGAAACTGCATAGCACTTTCTGAGAAATTTGAGAATCCTGCAGAAACAAATGTATTGTATGTATTTTATTACAGTGTGAATGCAGAAACCTTTTTTGGAAATAAAATGTTAGGTAATAGGTCATCTTTTAAACAAATTTTCATATGTCTGGCGTAGCTCTTTTCTGTGTTAATTAGTATGCCATATTGCAGTAAAACTTCATTATTAACTTCTGTGCTATTTGTACACTGCAGAAACATGAATAAAATTAACAGTATTTTTTTACAAACACAGGTATTTCTTTTTTTTTTTTCCCCTCAGTAAAGGAGCTTCACTTTACTTTCAAAGGCAAAATGAGTTAAATGTAAAACTGGAAGGCAAATATCAAAGAAAACAACCAACCTAGGCAGAGAGTACACTATGTAAAAGAAAGCAGGGAAAATATACAGGATATCCTTCAGAATCTGCATTCCAAAGGAAAATTTCTTAAAAGCATACACCTAAAAACTGAAAATAACTTTTTCAGGTCATGCAATCACTAGAGCTATTGGAAACACTAAAGAAAGGAGTTACCTGATTCCAGTCCAAACTCCAGATACTTTTCCGTCACAATGAGAATTGCCATTGCTTTCACGAAGAAAGAATCCAAAGGTGACACAGACTGATCTTTCACCTCCATCCTCTACTTTGAAATAATGGGTAGTCAACGAAAACAGTACCTTACTACACAAGAAAAAGTCAAGGAAAATTAAGTTTGTAAAATAACTATATTTAAGAACTATAAAGCTGTATTTTGGTCATCTATACTAGGCTGTTCTATGATGCGCAATTTTTAAAAAAAGTAATATGTGTTCAGCCAATTTCAGGTTAAAATTACAGAATACTGTAAAGCTCAATAATCGCGTAATGGGTAGCCAGGAACACACTACTCTGGAGTATAGTTTTGATTTAGGCTTACTTACAGCCAATTGTAGAAATATTCACTATCAACCTAGAATTAAGCCACAGTTTAAATGTAAAGAATTACACAATCATAAGTTAAAACAAACAAAAAATAAGACGATACCTTCCATGCAAAATATTGAGCTAAATGAAAAATATTCTACCAACTACATCACTCAAGATTTAATATATCTTAATTTCAAAATCCAAAACATTACTTTTTAATTTAACAGCTGTGATAGCAAGGAAGTGAGTAAACACATTTTTAACCTCAGTAGAGCTATATGTGTTCTTCCTGGATGCACAACCCTAAGGTATAGATATAAACAGCAAGAACAAAATGCTCCAACAAGTTCTTCTATCAATAATGGGATAAAATTTCTCAACTATGAGAATTTCTGCTCCCAGAGAGTACAGACCTGTCTTACAAGCAATCGTGACAAATGGCATGGGATTGTTGCTTAAATTATTACGTGACTTTGCTAAACAGAAAAGATATGAAAAAACAAAACTTGTTTTTCTCTACTTTCACATGCACCCGTTTGAGATTTCTTGAGATTTCAATCAAAGACAGCAAAACAACTGCATGTTTAGTACTATCCAGGAAAGAAAAATATATTCCACGCTCATTTTGGAAAACAAAACAAAACCACCTTATAAAAACCTCATATAGTCTGGTATGATATATTAAGTCCTTTCATGTAACCCCACTGCCACAAGTAGAAACATCTAAGACATCACCTGCTCTGTTATGAAGCTGTTTTAAAAATGTTTATTAAGTATTCTCCTTTTTAATACATTTCTAAACACAATTAGCCCCAAAGTTAAACAGTCAATTAGATAAATTTTTCATGATATATTGTCAACTCTTATTTCTATGAATTGCAGTCCACTGTAATTATTTTTTTGAAATGGCAGGCAATATCCAGTCCATATTTAAATAAAGTACTTAGAGATCACTCCAGACATTATGCACCTTGAAAAAAACAAAGAGAAAAAGGAGAAATATTTTAAGTGTAAACTGTACCTGCTTTTTCCACTATGCAATAACATATTCATTCATACTTGCACTTTCATAATATTGGGAGTGTTTAGAGATGTAGATTAAATGGAAACACGTTTTAGAGTATCTGTTCAGTAAAACATTTGAACAGTCATCAGTTAATCCCTCAAGAAACATAAGGATTGCTATATTTCATGTATTTGCAGATTGGTACTGATATGCACACCATAATGTGGCCTAAGCACAGCATCTAATGACTCTAAATTCACAGTAATCAACTTAAGCTCCCTTCATACTTCACAGAAAGAACCAACTTATCTAAAGGAATATGTAAATCATCCTAAAAAAGTACACAATGGGTCATATTGACTGTGTTCCAGAAAGCTCTGTTTCTCTAATAATATATTCTTAAACCAAGTGTCTTCTTACAGCTAGGGGCATCAATCACAAAATGAAAACACATTCATTTCAAATCTTGGAAGTTATACAGAGGACTTCGTAACAGTTTATGATCAACAGTCCCAACCTATACACAGATTTATAATCCCCTAGGTACTTCATGTTTTCATCTATGGATTGTGCCTAAAGGATGTGGAAAATGCATCTGGGATAAAGAAAGCACACTGACAGTAAATTCCAATTATTGTGCAGATTCAGAAACCTTAATATAAATTAATGACTATGCAAACTATACGTGACTGAAACACTAGGTTAGTTGAATAATGACCACTATTTTAGGGATGGAGAAAAGCAAAGCATTATGGCTCACTTCATCACTTCCTTTCACTGCTTGACCTATGTTTCAGGACCTACTGAAGAAATCATTCAGGAGTATACAGTGCCAAGTTATTAGAATCTCACCCCACATTTTATTACTTTTTTTTTTTTTTTGTCACGAAAGGTGATATGCCTGTAGAATTTATAGTATACACTTTTACAAAAATAATTTTGTCTTTTAAATTGCTGCAATTATGGAATTTTTGAACAATAAAGTCCACTGATATTTATGCATATGGTTGAAGAGAAAAGATCCATCTTCTGTTTCTAATAAAATACACAAAATATTTGGATTCACAGTTGAAAACCAGATAAACTCATCTATATTATTTTTAATTGCATGTATGTAGGAAAAAAATGTAGTTTAACGTTTCATGGTTATTTTAACGTATTTGGTGACTGGCTTTCCCTAGATCAACCTTCAGTCAAGTTAAGAGAAGACTGTGCTTTCCTTGTTATGCCATCCATACATTTTCCAAAAGTGAAATTTACTAATCTACCAACGAAATTAGGTTACTTAAACCTTCTCAGATCAGGGCTTCCCAGCCAAGAAATACCTTACTGTTGCTATACTACACTGATTTTCCTAAATACCTTGCCTTTGCAACAGTAACTATTGCATAAAACACTGTTTAAGAGTTTACAGACAAAATGTAAGTATTCTGATTCAGTTGTTCTTAGTGACGAATTTGAAATAGCTGTGTAAGTGCAGTAATTTAAATTAGGCACACGCTACTATTAAGATGGATTGTCTCTCAAGTATTGTCCATTTTATTCTATCCTCATGAATTATTCCCCCTGCCAATAAAATGTATCTTGTTATTTTACAAACCCAGTCCTTTGCAAGTAAGCTGGCTGTGACTGCTACATTTAAAATTGCAATCAATAATTCAGTTTTCTAATTCTGAATATGTACTCTGACAGAAGCCAATTTCAAAATAATAGAAAACATCAATCAGTCAATAGTTACTATCTGCAAACTGTAATTAAAGAATAATTTTTAAAGTAGTAATTAAAACATTGTGGTCTATACCACAATGAGTTTTCACAAACATTAAAATTACTTTTGCAAGAAACATTACATATACTCACTTTTAACTCAAAATTCACAATCAGCAGGTCATGACCCATAATACTTTTAAAAAAAAATCAGTATCTTTGTTTTGCAAGCTCTTTTGTTACTCCTCTTCAGGTACCGAAAATTGTTCAGTGAGTGCAGGCTATCAGCATGAAAAGTGATCAAGCAACATACGATCCTGCAGCCTTTCAGAAATATTAAACACCAAGCAGGTGGTACAGCAGGACATATAAATGCTGCCTCCGAGAAACATCTTTGAGTCTTCCTGAACCTATCTAGTCATTTAAAGATTTACTTATCTTTTCTGCTATAAATAGGACAGTCCCCTATCCTCAAACTACTATCCACACTACCAGCTGTGAGGTTGGTATTGTTCACTGCAGTTCAGCAGAACGAGGAAGACATGCAGACATCCCTGCCCTGGCCTTACAGTGGGTAAGCTGAGCGTGAGCTGCCACCTGAGCATCCACCCACCCTGGCAGGGGAATCCGCATCTTTCACTGAAGTACCTGCTAATGCAGCTGCACCAACAATTCAGCACACAAAACATGCTTAAAGCTAGCTTAGGTGTGCTGAGCACAACTACCGTCAGTGTAATGCCACCACACAGTAACACTAGAACTCAAATACTAAAAGAAGTAGTACACAAGTTTAGACTAAATTTCTGTTAAAACACACATGTATAGATTAGACTAGTTTCTGGCATTTTTCTGAATATCTACACTATGAACATTAAAAATTGCTAATACTGCACTGAATCAAAACATCTATTTCAGGAATACTCAGCTGAAAAAAATTCCAATCATGACTTCCAACTTCTCTAAGCTATTTTCAGTCATTCTGACAGCAAAACCCTTACTACAACCTATCACCTGTTAACACATAGCCATGAAACAGAGAAACACCTGTCATCGAAACACAAAACTGTTCTAAGAATTAATCCATGACATATCACGTTGACTGCTTTCAACTGAAAGTATGGAGGTAACCAAATTTTTCTAACATTTAAATTTTGATGAATCATTTCTGGTCTTGACATACTGGTAAGTAAATTATTGGGTACGTTTTAAATGTTCTTAGCATCCCAGAGGCCTGATGCCATAACACATGAGTGAGCCAATTTTCTTCCGAAATCTCCTTTCACTTGCCTAGGTCCCAGTGATCATGAGGATTGTTACCAACACTTCAATACATCACTCTTTGCACCATCTTCCTCCACCCAAAAAACTATAATGCCCAAAGTTACGTTAACATATTTATGGAGATGTTAACTCTAGTATAAAGTTTAGACTGTGCTCTCTGGTATGGCAGCCTTCTGCACTGCCACTAACCCCCCAGACTGCACAGGATCAAACTACTTCATCCCATCAGTCCAAGAATCATACAGGTAATTAAGCAAAGCCCTTTCACAAGTATTTCTACAAGATCGCCTACTCTGTGCAGAAGCCTCCAATAAAAACAAGGTCTATTTAATGCCACAGGGAAAAAAAAAAAAGTGAAATAAATGTACAAAGTGAGAGAAAATTAGTTTTGACCATTTGTTTCCTTTTATAATTAACAAATGACTATTCAACTACCTAATACTGAATAATTCATTATACAAGGTTACACCGGTATACCAGTTTCTTCTTTCCCAGAATTTATTTAATTCTGAAGGTTTGGTCCTATACATCAGACCATTCTTTTCTAGGCTTTCCCAAATTTATATATGATTAGAAGTACCATACAAATTTTAAACTAACTTCTCTATCCTTTCCCCAATAAACTGACAGAAGTCCTTAAGAATTTTCTCTCTACTTCCTATTACAAAAACCTCAAAACAATATTGATCCCTTAGACAATACCTGCGTAGGCATAAAAATGCTAAAGCATGCAATTAACAGTTCACAGCTTGTTAAATAAAATTTAGCTTTTAGCACGTGATCTTTTGCTTTTAATACTGTTCTATCTGATCTTACTTCCCTTTCAGTCATGTAGTAAGGCTAGTGAGAAAATATAGCTAATGTGCTTCTAACGTGCAGGGAACACTAGATTTGTTTCAATTTCCACCAAATCCAAATGTGCAATTAGAACTTAAGTGCTTCAGTCAGATTAGGATAAAACTGGAAACATTTGTTTAGGTTCAATTCATATAAAAAATGGCAGGTGAGAAAGAAACAATCAAAAAAGACCCTAACAGTTACTTGCATGGTCACACTACTGTGACAGAAAGCGTGCACTGCCAGGCAACTTAATCTTTTTTAATTTCCACATTTGGTTTTGCCCTGAATTGATGACCACATGAAAGCAGTGATTAGGATTGCATTGGAATACCACTGTAAGAAAGATTTACTGCAGTGGATTTTCCTACAATATATAATTCACAACTCTGTTTCACCTACAGTTGCAATTGTTGTAGTACTATTTAAGTTGGCTACACCCAAGATTTGAAAGATGAAGGAAATGGGGCGTTGCCACCAATAAATTTAAGAGCACACTGTGGCTTCAGTATTTGAAGCTTGTTTTTCCATTAGTTCTATTAACCTCCCCCTCATCCTCAAACTTGAAGTCAAAGGTGTTGGCTTTCATTTCTGGTTTCTTAAGCAGTAGCTGCCTTTTCCTGCCCTCTGACAAGATTAAACTAGAATTCCTGACTTCACCTAAACAAGTAAAACAAAAGCTGTGCAGTAACAGCTATATATTAGCTATTATATAACTATAATAGCATCATAAGGTGCACAAGAGCCAGACACCGACATCTGGACTGTGGACCTGTCCACTGACAAGTCAACGGAGAAATACCTGGTCTGGAAGCAAGCCACTGAGTCTTTTTTTTCATAACTTGAATTGACTCCCTCTTCTAGCAAGTTCTTACTTATTACAAAGAAAATTCTGGATATCATTTATAATTCAGACTGCTTAGGAAAAGAATTCCTGTCCTTCTCGTAAAAGCAGCACACATTCTAATATTATCAAATATAGACAAGCATTAAGCATATCCAGAACTACTAGCCAAATATAACCAAATACTAGAGTTCAAAGGTTTTACATAACACCCACTGACCCCACTCCACCCCCCTAGAAAAAACAAATGCAGTATCTTTATTGAAGAACAGAAATTTAAACAGAGGAATCAATTTGGAATATTCAAGTGCTATCTCGACCCTAACTTAGTACTTTATCTGGTTGCCAGCTGTTGAGAAATTAGTTGCAGAAATACATTTTCTAACTTGCATTTCCATAACCAGCACTCTTGCAGGCCCTTACTCAAGTCCACTGCTTTGTTAGCTATCATGTCTTTAAAAGGCGACTTTCCTGCAGAACCAGAAGAAAAATACTGGCCTGATGTTAAGGAGAGGCAAATTAGCCACCAACACCACTGAAAAGGCAGAGGTTCTCAACACTTTCTTCATCTGCCTTTACTAGCACTGTTGGGACCCAGGCCCTGGAACAAAAATCCAGGTTGATGCAAACACAGACCCACTGTGAGTGAAGGAGGAGTTGGTTTGTGAACTGTTACAGGAGCCTGAACCCTACAAATCAATGGGCCCTGACATTATTCAGCTGAGGGCGTTACAAGAGCTGGCTGTGTGGCCGCTCTTCAGTCTCTGAGAAGTTGTGGAGATCAAGGGATGTTCCAGAAGACTAGATGAAGGCTCATGTCACCCCCATCTACAAGAAGGTCTTAAAAGAGGATCCAGGACATTACAGGCCTATCTATCAGTCTTACTTCAGTGACTGGTAAAGTTACGGAACAAATCTTCCTGGGGGCTCACAAGTCAGATGAAGCAGGTGACTGGAACAAGCCACCACAGAATCACCAAGAGCAAACCTTGGAGTTCAGCTCTTCACAGAGCTTTGAAAACTTACCACCTCAGCTTCTACAACCATCTACACATTTCATTTTCTGTAAACTTCGTAAGAGGATCTTAATTGCACTTTAAAATTATTAATTCATGTATCTTTGCAATAAATCATTATACATATTACTGTACTATTTTGTTCAGTGTCAGATTAAACATACTGAACACAAAAACTGTGCAGTAAATTGCACACTTTCCAAAAGTTGTAAATACTTTCCATACAGAAATCTATTTCTGATTGCCAAACCAGGCAAAATTAAATTTGTTTAGAACCGCTGTATCTTCTACAGATGAGCACTAACTGTATGTTTGCATGCATGTATTTTTTCCATAAATAGCTTGGTATTAATGTTGACAAGCTATTGGTATCAGCATGTATGAAGAGCATGTACAGCCCATACATTACCCAACAATGGCACTAGCTTACATGATCCATTTTCCAAATGCTATGCATTTGTGTATCCTGCCAATCAATAATACAGAGCTTATACAAATTGCAAAATTATATAAACTATTTGGAACAGATAGAGTGATTTAAGAAAACAGAAAAGGATACAGTGCAAAAGCCAAGACAAGCAGACACCATACCACGCTGATATTCATTTCTTGTGAGGGCTTCACGATACTGTAATAGGCTTCTGTCACGACATACACAACTGTAGCTGCAACGGTAAAATCCACCAACCACTGATATTCCGGAAAATAATGTAATGCTGAAAAATACAAGTTTGTAAATGTTAAAGGTGTGATATTTTCAAGCAGTTACTGACACATATAGAATGCAGTCACAATTTAAAAATGTTTTCAATTAACTTAGGTCTAGGCAGAACCAGATCATCCAAGCAGAAAACAACAGCACCAAGCGCGCCACATTTTTTCCACTCAACCACCTGAACTTCACTCTTCAGTTATTGGATACCTGATTACTACTCAAATTTATAAGGCTGCAAGATTTCACTATTTTATTGTCTCAGCTTTTATACATTAACATCCTAAATTCAAAAAGCATACTTAATTTAGATCTCAACATCACAACAGAAAATGGTTTTCCAGTTGAGTCTAGCTGGAGTTCCAGGTAAGAGGTTTTTTCTGAGTCTCTGCTAAAGATTAAAAGCTCATTAGCAATCATGTAAAATGCTACATATAATCACTTCCTCTTTTTCTTTAAAAAAACACACATCTAAAACTGATGGTTTGTTCTTCCAGGTTTTGTTAATATCTCCTGTAAAGCAATAAATCATTGTGTAAATTCCACTGTAAAAATTCATACATAATTCATTCATAACACATCATACTGTGTTGCATGTAGGCTGGGTGATTTACAAAGAGAGAGCTCCCATAGGGGTCAGGAACTGCAAAGAACAATTTGTGACAACCAAGTGCAGCTTGTCCCTTACAAACACCTCACCTACATCTACAGGGTTAAAGTCACAAAACATTACTGAGCATCTGTCTGTTGACTACAAGCTACCTAATGCCAAACACATGAAATTGGACAAACTCAGGTATTTCCAAGTCCTATACCTACTTTGAAATAACTATCTGGTTAGATTCAACAGAAGTTTGTATGCATAACTTTCTAAAGACAGTCAAACACTACACTGTATCAGTACCTATAAATACTCAGGGGCACAGTTAAATGTATAATTTCCATCAAATAACACTAATTGAAACTTGTGAATGCTTTGTTTATTTATGTGCTAGCTTCAAAAAGCTCTGCAATGATGTTACAGGTATTTTCTCAGCTTAAATTACCAGTGACAGTGTAAAAGACTCCTACATAAGACTATGCTTCCTTTCTTTCTATATTAATGCATAGAACACAAGTATAAAAATGCAAATAGAAAGAAATACATATCACACATACATACACACGCATATATAAGTTTTCTGTAACAGAATGATTGGTTATGATTAAGGAATCAAAAATTACCATTTGAAAAACCAGCATGTTCCAAAACAGTTAACGCTGCTGTCACTTTCCGTTTCTAAGCATGTTACCTCAGTTTCAGATGTGTGGTTGAAAGGTCTAGGTTTCAATACTACATTAGATTACCTATTTTAGATGAGCAGAAAGTATAAGTTTCGACATCTGCCAATTCTCATTTTCTTGTATAAAGCTATGATGTCCATTTCAAACAGACTATGATGTGATCCTTTTAGTATTGTCTCCTATTGCTATGGATGTCTGATATAACAGATGTGATTTTTGCTGGTTTTCACCTACTCATCCTGTTCCATAACACTCCTATTAAGATGTCACCCATTGAACAACAAAGAACACTTAGCCCTAATTCTTGCTTTCTCATTTATCAGTTGTATTTCATTCATTATCTACAAAAAAGATATTCCATCACAAATAAACGTTTTAGAAAGAATCAGGATATATTTGAAATGATGTATTATTATTGTCTGCATCCACTTATTCTTACCGATAGTGTCCCTTTCAGTCACAGATTTTGTTTCCAGGTGAAGATCGATGTCTTTTGGAATAGTTAGGGGTTTGTTCTCAATATGACCATTATATTTTCTGTAAAAATAAATAATATACCCATAGATATGACAAAATAAGCTTTTTCCAATATATAATGGCATTTCAAATTTAAGAAAAGTGCAGACCACTTTTTTGCTAAATGCACATATTTTTATCTAGCTAGCTAAAAGCATTAATCCAAGTTCAGATCTTGAGAAACAACTACATATGTAAACGATTTCTAGCTTTATCTTGCAATGCTCTGACATACCACTGTGATATGCATTTAAAGCTCCTATATGCTGCATCCTGAGCATGTATTAGGGCAAGATCCACTGGCCAGTATTTACTTCAGCCCACTGATTTTTCTCTGTTCAGCAAGCTACAGGGTGTTACAGTAAGCTCCCAGTCTCAAAAGGTTAGTGGTATGAGTACAGCTACAGAGCAGAATATATCCCCCCTGCCATACAGATATCCTGAAGAAATCAAAGCTAATGTGAGACTCTTTAACTGAGGTCTAGACCAGGATGCTGGAAGATGGGAGTGTTAAAGTCTTCAGATTGAAAGTAAACAAGACAAGCAGACTTGGCAGTGTTAATTTATTGAACATTCACTGGAAATCACAACAAGCAGTAATCTATCTTGAAAGATAGCTGGTAAGGAAAAAATCAAAACCAAACTTCCCTAAAAGTATTAGGCCTTTGTCACAATAGGGTGCTTAGCAAGTACATCATGTGAACTAGACTAACCTAGATCCCTGAAAGATCCATCCTACAAGGCATCAAGGAAAGACAATTTAAAGATAGTTTTCTAATCTAAAAGGTTATGTGTAGAAATACTATAGACCTGTTTTAATTCATAACCTGCTTATGTAAAGAAAGATTAAAAAAAAAAAAAAAAAAATCACAGTATTACTAGTAATCCTAGAGATCCAGTACATCCTGAAAAGAAATAATCCATCGTGCTCTTTGGGGAGACGCACAAGGCCGAGTACATCACGATACAGCATGAGGCTGTGTTCCAGGTTTTCACCCTTGCTGCAGAGCATGACAGCAACACACAGGGGCTTCATAAAGAGTAACACGCAGATTTCATTTGCTCCTATCATGCAGGTGGCTACTTGCTTATACAAATGGAAGGAAAAGGCAACCAAGGATTGATCCTCACAGTGCTAAACCCTACCTGGCTTCCAGCATTAAGCAACGTGAGTATAATCTAAACCAAGGATTACATCTTCTGAAACCACCGTTCTTCAAATCTTAGATGAATTTGCCTAATCCCTTTCTGAACCAGTATGAAACTTGTTAAGCTGTGCAGCATGTTGAAGGCATCAAAGTTTCACAATAAGTGTCCCAAACTGAGAAGTCCTTAAATCTACTCTATTAATGTCATTTTATGCCTACTTGTAACATAGTAGTAAGTTTACTACTCCCTATCCACCTTCTGTGCACACTAGACACGTACCTGTTGCAAAACCCTCCCTCAGCCAGTTCTCAGACTAGGAAACCTTATGCTTCTCTTCCTCACGTGGAAGCCTTTCTTCTAGGCACCATCACTCCCCTTTTCCAGTTCCACTGAATCATCTTTGAAATATGGTATAAACTAAAGTGTGTCTTTTCTGTATAATATGAAGTTAGACTACATTTTTCAAATTGTTGGTTACAATGCATCTTTAAGGAATAATTTTTCACAGCAGAGATACACGTAAAGAACATAAAACATGAGATATTTATAGCAAAAGCCATATTTTCATCTGAAGCTCTCAAACCATACTAACACCATGAACTTCGCTTTCCTGAAAATAAGCCACATAACTTAGACTTTAAATTGAAGAGAACAGGATGCTCTTAAAAGAACCTGAACAAAGTCAAGTTACATGAAACTGGGCTGAGAGATTACCATTATTAACTAGGGTAAAACTTACTTCATCATTATTAAAGAAAAAAAAATCATTAAAGCAGGTCAGAAAAATGTTTTGTTAGGTTAAAAACAAACAACAAATCAAAATCAAAACTTAAAACTCCTAAAATGGGGAATAAGACAGCAAACTCTGCCACGTTTTAGGATAGCACCTCTGAAACTAGAAAAGGAGAGGTGGATTTTCCATAGAAAGATGAGTTATTGGGACATAAGCATTAAAAAGAAATTCATGTATCATGACCTTATTTTCAAGAAATTATGTCCTCTCAGCTAATGTGTGAGATTCTTATCTTGTATTCCTATACAAGCAGAAAGCATTAATAAGGGTTTTGTGGTTTTTTTTTTTTTCAGGTTATATTAATTCTTAGTAACATCTGAAGCACAAGAATTTTAAAGGACAAACTGAAAACTGAGGATAGGAATCTAAAGCATTACTCCAAAAATTCAGGTGCTCAAGCCTAAACAAGTCCCAAATACTGCCCAGCCACTTGACTATCTGCAAGCTTCTGTGTGCTTCCCTACCCCCAGTTGTACTCTGACGTTTTCCTACTGCCTGCACCCAGGAGTACCATCATCTTGAGTGAGATGAGCATTTTGATAAGTGAAGCCATTTCAACTCAACAAAATTTGGTGTTCCTATACTTTAATTATCCCAGGGACTCATAATCCAAGAGACACAGTCAGAACATGCCCAGGATCATTGACAGCTTTAATTCAATGTAATTCATAGTAGCTGTGGACCTTTTCATTTGCCTAACAATTTAATACAACACAAACGATTCAGAAATAGAAGATCTGTCTAATACTCATGTGCTATTATAACCTACAGCATAATATACTGAAGTGTAATATACATTGAGTAAAATGAACTATAAGTTCACACTACAGCTGTTTCTAAAGCTAATTTTCAAGCAAGTTGCTTAGATCTCCTTCCGTCATTTCTCTTTTAATTTGTTCAAATTTGAAAGGTTAAGTAAGGAGCAGGTACTAGATTATGCAAGACCATGGGCTTAACAAAGTAAATTCTTTATCTTGAAGAGACACAGGAAAATCAAATAGATTAATCCTTATTTCTCTTACATCCATTCCACATCTGCTTGGCTCAAAGAAGCACTGCATTCCATTTTGTGCAACCTAAAACAGTACATCCAAACCAACTGAACAGGAACAATTCCTACTTTACAGATCTCCTCCAGCAACAGCAGCTTCTTTAGAGGACACACAGGTATATTTATTGACTAAAAAGTAAGCATATTATTCATTCTGTTGTTAAAACAGCAAAGCAAAGAAAGCATCATCTAAGCCTCCACGTTACCGTCTTGGTTTCTCTGAAGTTTCATATCCCCTGTGATTGACATTTACCCTAGTACACACAACTACAACTGTATTCTCTTGATTACATGTTAATATAGTAAGATAATTAGATCGATCTTCTAACAACTAAATCACACCAACAAAACTTGACTGCAGAGTCACAAAAACATAGCATCGCATTTGAAACATTAAATGTAGAAGTTTAGTAACTGAAGAAGGACTTAATGCATGTATAGGTGACTTGTGATACAGGTTCCTGCTAAGTTTCATGGTAAGTTTTCCAAATATTACAAAATCTAAGCTACAGCTGTCAGTACAAATTAACACTCCATGCTTCCACTCAGCTGAGAGCATGGAATTGCTCTGATGAAAGTGAGAACACACGTTTTGGATGGCAAAAGGCTGGCAAGGATGAGGAAAGGCAGTAAGAGCAATGTACAATAATTATTTGGTAAGGCAATTGTGTTTTTCTGTTTAAGGCTCTTATGGGTGTAACTTCAGTAACATCATTTAAGTTATTTTACATGTGAATAATTATCACTGGTTAAATGAACAGTTATAAATTATAGTGCTTTTCACAATTATTTTGCCTCAACTTGTTACAGCAAACTGTTAGATAAAATGAGTTTCTGAATTGGAAGAATATTGCAACACATAAAATTAAAGTTATTTAATATTAAAGGAACAGCTTAATTCTTTACTCCAAAGTATGGCAAATATGGTTGCTAGCCATGTAGCTTAAGAACTATGAAACAGAAAAAAAAGAAATTACATTACACTGAACAGATTATATATGCAGTTTGTGGTTTAACACAAGTGTTAAGAATTATAGGAGAGTTCATACTAGAATAAAAGAAGAACTAAAGGAAACTTCCTTTGTCACCAAGAAGAAAGAAGAGGAGTGGGTTGGTTTGTTTTAAACATAGCCAGTTCAGAAATCTTGCATCAACATAGCCAGCTCCACCACGTGAAGATGTCTTGGTTCTTGTCACAGTTGTACTTCTGCTAAGTCCGTTCCAGAACTTCATGACTGAATGTCAGAAATCTGCTTCCAGCTTAAGCTGATAGACAGCTATCCCATGCCTCTCAGTTGTCTTTTTGCCAGGTTAAATAAGTTAAGCTCCTTTAGCCTCCTCTTTTAATACATACATTCTGTTTCCTGGATGATCCTAGCAGCATTCTGTTCACCTGTTCATGTACAAATTCATTATTCTTGAAAATGAGTGATCAGAACTGTACACAGTAATCCAGATAAGGTTCTACACCAGTGCCTTGTCCAAGGGGATTAATATTTCCCTATCTCTTCTACTAGATATACCTAACGTAATACATCCTAGGAGCACATTTACCTTTTTCACAGCTGTGTAAGAGTGGTGGCTCATACTAATCCTCTGTCGAACTAATATACACAAATCTTTCTTCAAGATGAGGAGCTTCAATCCTATAGAAGATTTGCTTTCCTCAGTCTTCAACCAAATAAATACATTCACTAAAACAAATCTAAACTTTTGTGGACTGGAAGTCATCCAGTTCTGCACAATTTGGGCATGTTCAACTCTGTTAAACTGAAGGGGCACAGTTTAGTACAGAGCTGTGACAATTAATGCAAGAAGGGCAGTCATAAACAACTAGCAGTTTTTAACTCGCACAAAGACAAAAGTTGGCTAGCAAAGTTATGTGGATCATGTTGAAAAAAAAGAGAGAAAGAAAGAAGAAAGTTTAAAACAAATATTTACCTATCTTTTTTGCTCTTCCCTCTTTGTTTCCCTGCAAGAATCCGTAGTTCCTCTTCAGTAGGATGCTGATACCATCGTAAACTAAAGAAAAAGAAAATCTCAAGTAAAACAATATCAGTATTAGCAATTTATTGTCTTTTTTTTAAAAAAACCTATGTATCAGCACAGATCTATATGCATATTAAGACACTGGTCATTTGCAAAACCTAAGCAAAATACCTTGTGTGCAAGTACCAGCCCTGAACAGCCACAGCTAAACTTGAGTTCTCTTCAGCATATGAGATGCTTATTCATAATTAGAAAGCTTTGCTTCTTTGTCATTTAAGTGAAAGCTCTTCACTTCTCAAAACACCCAATTTTCAAGTTATCATCAAATACAGCAAACAAGGTTGTACCAATATTGGAAAAAGTTCACTAAAATAATTATACCGTAATTAATATACAATAATTCACTAGAATAATTATAATTACCCATCAGAACCATATTCTAAACAATTTTATAAAGTATAATTATACCTCTCAAAAAACAGAATTTTCCAGAATCTGGAATAGCTATTATCAAATAACCACCACCAGGTCTTTTCTCTTAGGCAGAGCAGATCCTAACATCAACACTGCTTTCCTAAACATGTCATCAGTGATATCTTCAACTCCTACTAGAAGTGCTATTAAAAAAATCACTAATTTACATGTAGCTGTTCTGCAAGTTTTTTCCACTTTCACAAGTCAATGCACCATCCGTTGCTCATTTATTTAAAAGGCAAGTAGTGGCAAGGAAATTCTGAGGAGGAAATAGACTGTTAAGTCTCTAAAATGGTACATTTTACCTTAATTTTTAAGCATGTCAAGAACCCTAGTAGCTGAAACAAGGCCTTTTCCACACTCAACAGGGGAGAGTTGCTGTCCACATGTGGAAAGGATGTCACTGATCTCCATTATGAAATGCTGAGACAAATGAGCCCAAATGTTAACAGGAATAGACTCGGGAAATTTACATGGAAGTACTTTTCTGGAGCAGGAGGGGCCACTAATAGGTGACACAGGTTAACACAGAGTAATAGTTAGAGATGGTAACAGAATCCACAACCAGTACTTCTCATGTTAAGAAACCCTCATCAAGTAGGACCATTCAAATCTACATTGGCAAATTAGAGATTATATTACATCCAATTTCAAAAGATAGCAATGCAGATTTGGAAAATAAACATCAAACTCAAACAACCTCAAGCCACTTGGTAACACCTGATTCCCAGCTCTGTTTTGGAAAGGCTACCTGTCCCAAGTGGCAGTCTGGTCTACCCATCGATATATTTGCAGAATACAGCCTTTCATGTAAATATAAAAAATTTTGTCATTCTTCATGGAACATTGCCTACATAACAAATGCTGAGGGAAGTCCACTGTTACAAGACTTATGTAGAAATCAGAAACAGTCCTAAATACAAGCAGCCACAACAAGCAATATTATACATCATCTATCTTCCTTATGATGGCATGGACACTTCAGGAGTCCACACATGCTGCAAGAGATACTAGATAAAAACTATGAGAAAGAATAGGTACAATTTTAATGAAACATATGCTATCACTGAGCCTATGCCTGAGTGGCAGATCTTAAACAGAAGACCTAGCCCCTCTGTCCTGATACTGTCCTTGACACTACACTAAACTTAGCTGTAGACAGGGAAGTGGGAATGAATTAAAATGATGTGACAAACACGTTTCAGAAAGGGCTCCCAATTGCAGCAGTTTAATTGCTGGTATAATGAACCATTGAACAGGCAGTTGCACAGAGAGCATGAACATCATCTTAAAATAACTTGGAAACTGGCATAATAGGTAAGAGTTCAAGCCAGCAATATTACCAAGAATACAATCTGGTTAATAGGGGGGTTCTACAAGCCTGTGTCAATACGTACTGCTGGGCTCAAGAATCAGCTGATGCTGGGATTTCTTCAAGAGAAAATAAGTTCAGTACAAGCCAGTAATACATCACAGAGATCCACACCATTGCACGTTATACATTTCCACTGAAGGAATTCACTGCCAGTTCAAAAACTGTAAATGGCAAATACTACAGACTTTGCATGAACAAGGAGTTTGCAAGGGGAGAAGAGGGGCTGAATTTTTATTGTGGTTTTTTTGAGGCATCATTAGGAGTGAAAGTTGCTTCACTGATTTTTATCATGTGTGGTCCCAGCTGAAAAATGTTCTGTTTGCAAACTTTGCTGCAAAAGAGACTTAGTCTTGTTAAGACTAAGAATCATACAGAAACCAGAGCAACTACCTTTTCATCCAAGAAGGCAAACTACATTGGAGAGACTAACTTTTCCTATCTTTCACACAACCCAGAGAAAGTGGGTGAAAGCAGACGAATACTCTTCTGTTTTGTCATTCACCTTCTCCCTGATCTAAACTTGGCATGCTGAGAGTACCACCAGTAGTTCTGTAATGACTAAAATTACCTGTTTTGGAAATCCAGTTTTTCAAAATCTCTCCGGCACAGATAGAGAAATAGTACCTAATATATCAGAACAGACAAAATCCTTGTTCTGTGTACCAACACAAATCAGACACTTAAACCACAATTTGCACTTAATTAGAACACAGAATTATGTTGCAAATGACTCCTAATTAGAACTAATAGGATACAATAGTTTGGGGATTTTATAGTTAAAAACCCTACACACCTCATATTTGAACTCTCAAAACCTAAAGATCTGAACAAACATTTTCATAAAGGTAGAGCTAAAAAAAAATGTAGTTCATATCTGCTTAAGCTTATATGTGTTTAAAACTGAGATCCCACTATTGATTCCTCTGTAGCTCTGAGATATCAAAGTTAGTCTGAATAGCAACAGCAGCACAGATACGCCCTGGTTAATTTGAATGAAGGTCATAAATAAATGCACAACAAAACATCCATTTTCTCCTGTCTTCCTGAAGTGGCCTGAAAACAAAACCTAGATGAGCAACTTCAAAGTAACATTTTGGTAGAGAATGTTTTATTAGTTAAAAATGCAAAAGCCTATGCAGATACTTAGGTTGTGAATTCACTGACTTCAATAAATACAAATATTCAAATTCCTCTCAAGCTCTGAAAATAGCACTGATTGAAAAAGTCTGTCTTCCTTTTCAACTTAAGTAAATAGATTTTCAGCAGTCAATGAGATCTGTTCATTCTGTAAACAAGCATTTACATTATGTGCATCTATTCTAACAATTCTTTTAAATTTTGAGGTGTCTGCTTTTATTTTTAATGGACTTTGAATGTACACGTACAGGCATCTTGAAACTAACTGTCCGCTTAAAGAGTTTCTGGCTTGCCTGGTAATGTGTTTATCCTCCCTCCCATTTGGTAAGGGCTATCTGTAGACATTTCATACCACCTTGCTTAGAAAAGCCTCCCAAGCCCTTGAAAGACACTTAAGCCAATAACTAGTTTTGGGAACCAAAGACTCAAAGTATATTGACAAAGGAAAGAAGGAGCAGGCAGTACCTTTTCCTAGGAAAGCTGGACTGCTTAGCAGTGTGCCTGCCTGTGCCTGAACCTTTACATGTGTTTAAAACACCCCACCACCCCACCCACACAGGCCTGTCAAAGAAAACGCTGTAGGCAAAAAGACAGCACTAAAGAAAATGAGCTAACATAAAAGATAGTTTGTCAGCTAAACTAAGAAGAAAACTGTTTTTCTTTTGGCCATTAAAATTCAAATTCTTGTTGCAGTGAAGCTTCTGACTTGTTTTTATTTCTGGAACGGAGAAGTATTTCTGGCTCTTTACATAATTCTTATATTCAGGAGTTATTCAAACTGACTGAAATTACAATGAACTAAAATAGTTACCAGATAAATAGAAGAACACTGAAAAGCAACGAGATTGTCAAGGCTACTAACATGAAAGGCAATAATAAGACTCCCATTGACTTCAGTGAGAGCAGAATTCCATAAGCACAAGTGCAGAAATCCTGCTTTATGTATTTATCAATCTGCAGGTGTGCAAAGATAAAAGCAGAAAAGGATTATGAAAAATATTTGAACAGCAAACCTCTCCCTATCACTGGCATAAAGCATGCCTTAGAACAAGAACACAGAAAGTGAAAACTTCACAACAGTGAGGAACATGGGCACAATATTGAGCAATTCTTTAAAATGAACAATTAAATATTTAAATTTTGAAACAAAAATTTAAATAAATCTTTTAAATAGGACAAAAAAAGTAGAAAATGTCATTTGAATAACTGCTGATAAAAACACTATGGTAGTAACACCTTAAAAATGAATGGTATGCAATCTCATATTCATTAATGTAATATTCTTTTTAGAGCACAAAAAAGGTAATCTATATCCTGCAGATATAGTCAACAATGAAAGTTCTCACAAGAATTAAGAGTATGATTACTGTTCATATTATTCACCTAACAAGTACTGTTTTCCATTATACCTAACCTGTGGTAACTAACATGCATTTAAACAACATTCGGAGTTATTTTTTATTAGCAACTCTTCGGGTGACAAAACTGGGAAATTTAAGAAGAAAGTTGTTAATTCTGAGATGCAGAGGAAAAAAAGGCAATGGAAGATTGTAAAAGACTGGTTAAGACTCCTATGGAATACATTATTATTCAAGGATACTCCTTCAGAAATCAGGGAGTAAAGATTAGGTATTCTCAAAATTTTAACAATTACAAAAGACAGCACATTACCTTCTAATCATACAAAGTGTTTTTCCTCCCAAATGAAAAACACACAGTGTCTATGATTCTTTTAATATTTAAGATACTGATTTATATTCAAAACAGCTGCTGGTTCTCCTTGTTATTACAGATACAGCCACACAGGGAATGTTCCCCTTGCAACTCATTATGTCTGTTTGATCTATTGTTATGAGGAAGTAGTGTATTGAAATTTATACTAATCCTGGCCTGTGAAGTATTAAAAAAAAAAATAGAATTTTTAATAAATACCTAAGCACTCTTTATATGCAAAGCTAATCAGCAGGTGGATTATCAAGAACACCGAGAAAAAAATCCTTCCGTTCTTCAGTGTCTTGTATTCAGTTCAGCTTTCTAATATTAAAGTATGTAGCTTGGGCATTTAATAATATAATAGCTGGACAACAACTAACTTTATGACTGATACAATTAATAGCAATAAACAGGTCTGTTCTTTTATAGCAACACTCTCTTTATATCTTGAGCCTGTAAGTCAAGTGTCACAATGCTATGGTAATAAATTTAAGAACAGCAGATTAATTACTTTTCAAGAAAACAACCTAAATTAGTTTGTTTTACTGTTACTTCTCTAATGCATAATTGCATTACCATATTCACACACCCTATAGCAACTGTTTCTTATCTTACCTGCCACTACAGAGAAGCCAACGAGCAAGAGAATAGTGAGGTATGATCTTCTGTATGACACTAGCCATTACCATGGTAACCACCAACTGTACACCTATCACACCCTGTAAAGGAATAAGTTAATAACAAGTCATTATGTGTTTTACAAAAGTGCTGAAGTACCTTTAAAAAAAAAAAAATTAAGAACACCTTGTATGGTAGGCATAACACTTTTTGGTTCTTTATGAACTGGAGGGGGGAAAATAAATACTTTATCAGTTTTCAAGAAATCCCCTGGAAATTGCTGTAATCAGTTATATAGTTCATCAAAGGGAAAAGGCATTGCCAGGTCATGAGGTCAGTAACCTATATTTCCTGTTTCACAGACCCTATGGCCACATGTGGATGTGGCATTTCACAAGACATTATGCCTTAAAAATCACATCACTGATTACAATCTTGGGTTTTGTGGTCTCGGCAGTTCTGTCATGATTTAACAGCTGACACCACACAAACCCCTTGGAATTAACAATAATTTACAATATCCACGTCACAAAATTTCAGCCTCTGATAAGTGCAGAGCATGTGCTCCTCACTGAACTACAGGCACAGGTGGGGAAGGGAGGCAAGGGCACACAGAAATCAGAGTAGGTTCACTTCAACTTCCAATCCTTGATCAGGAGTTGGCACTTCAGCAGAGTCAGCAGCAATCTCATTCCCAGTCACTCAGCAAGCTTTAATTCTGGGTATTGGTTGTTGTTTTTAAATAAAGCAACTTTAAACTTTTAAAGCTAAATAACAAGTGAAATTTTCCATCACATTACTTTTATCTTGCACATGAAATTCTACCAATACTTACACCGTGTTAAAAAAAAAAAAAAAGCATGAAGTGTGCACACCATATTTCCTCTATTTACAAGCAAGATTTTCATGCTTAAAACATCACAAACAATAGTAAAAAGTATCAAACAGATATGCAAGGGAAATTTACAAAAACAGGCATGTGAAAGGACACTAAGAATCAAACAACTAAGCTATTTCCACTCTTTTAAACTGTTTTTCAGAAAACTTTCTCATAGAGAGAAATACACTTTTTCAGTCAGCACATAAATGCCACATTTAAGTGGTGGCATGTTCACCTTCACTCTTAGCTATCAAGTTTTAGATACTGCTAGTTACTAACAATAATTTGAAGATAATGCATTTCCCTCTACAGTTGTAGAAGATGGGAATTACACTTCACTACCTTTGCACTAATGCAATGTGCTATATAAGGTCAAGAGGCAAAAGTATTTCTACATATGGAAGCAGTATGCAATTAGCCACTGGCAAATAAAACACCGATTAGCTCATACACTTGAGAAACATTTTCTCCAATATTCCCCAAAGGAAGAATTAAGATTCATCCCTCAAGAACACCTCACTAGCAGCACAGCATGAAGTGCTGCCATTGTTCAAACACATCCTCTCCCTCCTAGGATACCTGTTCTCTTGGGGGAAATTTAACAACACATTATTGTTACCAGAAGTTTGCAAAAGGAAAGAGAAATTCTTACAGAATAGTGAAACAGCTGAGGTTGGAAGGAACCTCTGGAGATAAACTAGTCCAACCTCCTGGCTGTTGAGGCACAGTAGCTGCTGATTGGTTTCGTTTTGTTGGGGGTTTTTTTGTTTTTTTTTGCATCCTTGTTCTCAGGTTTTTACAATAATTGGGGCCCTCAGCCAGTAAGGGCTGATGTTGACCACAGATCAGACTCAGTTCAAGTAGAAACGGAGTCCCCTGGGGGAGCCATTTTGAGCTAGTCCCCTCTGGAGCTGTACAGTTGCCATGACTTTTCAGGTGAGTGATTGAGTGCTCTGGGTTGTCTTTAAAGCCTAGCTATTCCTTTAATTGATTGTGCAGTAATAGTTTTTCCTCTCAGAGACATTTGGATTAATTTATTAATTGCTGGAGTGCCTAATTGCTTAGATTGTACCTAAAATAAACTTTAATTACGTCCTGTTTATTTTGAGAGCCTCCACAACACTTCCACCACTAAGAAGTGGGTCAGCTAGAGCTGATTGCTCAGAACCATGAGTTCAGTCAGGTTTTGAATGTCTCCAAGGACAGACACTCCACAACCTCTCTGGGCAACCTGTGACAGTCTTTGACCATCCTTAAGTAGCTTTTTTTTCTTTCTTATGTTTAAATGGAATATTCTATATTGTGCCCATTGCCTCTTGTTCTTTCACTGGACACCAGTGACAACAGCCTTGCTCCAGCTTTCCCACCAGGTATTTATACACGTGGATAAGATGCCTCTTGAACCTTCTCTAGGCTCAACAGTCCCAGCTCTCTCAACCTCTCCTTGTATGACAGATGGTCCAGTCTCTTCATCTTTGTGACCCTGCACTGGACTCTCTCCAGTAAGCCCATGTCCCTGTTGTACTGGGGAACCCAAAATCAGATGCAGCACTCCAGTCTCCCACCAGTGCTGAGCAGAGGTGAGCACCTTTGTCAGCCTGCTGGTGATTCTCAACATAAGGCAGCCCAGGCTGCTGTTGGCCTTTGCAACAAGGGCCGACTGCTGGCTTACGGTCAACTTAATGATCTCCAGAAGCCAAGGTCCTTTTCTGCCAAATCGTTTTCCAAGTGGATAGCCCCCAGCATGTACTGGTGCCTGGCCTTATTCCTTCTCAGGAATATTGGCATTTCACTTTGCTGAGCTGCAGAAGATGCCTGCTGATCTGCTTCTCCAGTCTATAGAGGTCCCACAGAATGGCAACACAACTACCTGACAGCAGTCACTCCAAGTTTTGTACCATCCACAAACTTGCTGAGAGTGCACTCTCTTCCATCTTCCAGGTTATTAATGAAGATGCCAAGTAACACTGGCACCAGTATCAACTCCCAGAGCACATAACTAGTGACTGGCCTCCAGCTGGACTTTGTGCCACTAACCACAACAGCAGCTCAGCACCTCAGACAGCTTTTAGTCCACTTCACTGATCACTTACCTTGTCCATTACTTCATCAGTTTCTCTGCAAAGGTGTTATAGCAAACAGTGCTGAAAGCCTTGCTAAACTTAAGATAAACATTATCCACTCTTCCCCTTGTCCAAGCTAGTAATTTCATTGCAGAATGCTATCAAGTTGGTCAAGAATGACTTTCCCTTCATACATCCAAGCTGACTACTCCCAAACCCATCTTGTCTTTAACATGCTTGGATTTAGTTTCCAGGGTTATCTGCTTTATTATCACCTCAGGGATCAAGGGGGAGGCTGACCAGCCTTTAATTCTCATATTCTCATTTGTTGTGGTTTGGGCCTGGTTGGCAACCCACCCCCGCAGCTGGTCACCCTCCCTTCCCCCTCCCCACCTGGGAATGGGGGAGGGATTAGAGGGGTGAAGGGAGACTCGCAGGCTGAGATAGGAACAGTTTAATAACGGCAATAAAATGAAAACAATGATGATGATAGGGAAGAAAAAGAAATATATAAACAGGCAATGCACAATGCAATTGCTCCCCACCCGCTGACCAACATCCAGCCCGTTCCCGGCCAGCGACCCCGAGATACCAAGATCCCACAATCGCAATCTCGGAAGCGAGAGAGAGAGAGAGAGCCCCCTCCCCACCACCCCTGCTCTGTACAGTGAGCATGACGTGCCATGATATGGAACATTTCACTGGACAATGAGGGTCTGGTGCTCTGTCCATGCTCCCTCCCTGCTCCCTGTGCCCTTGGGCACGGGCAGGACATGAGGAGTCGGAGAGTCCTTGAAGTCTCGGCAGCAGCTGAAAACATCAGTGTGCTATCAGCATTCTTCCCATACCAAACCCAAAGCTAAATCCAAAACACAGCACTCATCTAGTCCCTGAAAAGGAATATTAACTCTATTTCAGCCCAAACCAAGACATCATTTCTTGAAGACAGAAGTAACACTTGACTTCTGAAGTCTTCAGCAACCTCCCCTGATTGTCATGACCTTTCACAGAGTGAGGGTGAGCAAAGAGTGACCTTGCAACAACACTGGCCACTCCCTCAGAACTAGTGTGTCAATCCCACCAGGACCTACAGACCTGTGTATCTACAATTTGTTTAAATGGTCCCTAACATGATAGTCTTCCATGGAGGGTAAGCCTTCATTGATCCAGGCTCTCTTAACAGTCTCAGAAGCCTGGGATTACTGAAGACAAGCTTTATCAGCAAAGACCAAGGCAAAGGCAGCATTAGTATCTTACTCTTTCTCATGTCCTTTGCCATGTCCCAGTCAGCAGCAGGCCCGTGTTTGCCATCATAATATATTTGCTGTTCATATACTTGTACAAGGTCATCTTGTTGCCATTCAGGTTCCATGTCAAACTCAGTTTCAGGTGGCCTTTGACTTTCCTAACCCTACCCCTGCATGCACAAGACAGTTTCTCCATATTCCTCCTGGATGACCTGACCCTGCTTCCACCTCTTGCATACTTCCTTACTATGTCTGAATTTTGTCATGAGCTCCATGTTCATCATGTACATCAGGATGGACTGTTCCTGAGCTTGCAGGAGGTGATCCTGAAAGTCCACCAGCTTTCCCAGACCGCTCTTCTCTCTACAGGATTCTTCTAAGCTGAGGTCTAATGAGGCCAAAGTCTGCTCTTCCAAAGTCTAGGATTGTGAACCTGCTACTTGCCTCATCTCCTTCTCTCAGGATCCTGCACTCTACTATTCAACAGTCACTGCAGCAAAGGCTGCATGACCTTCACATCATCAGCCAGCTCTTCCTTGTTTGCAAGCCTGAGGTCCAGCAGAGCACCTCTCATCACAAGCTGCTCATTCACTTGTGTTGGGCAACTGCCATGAAAGCACACAAAAAAATCTCCTGGGTTGATTGTGCCCTTCTGTGTTGCCTCTTCAGGAGATGCCAAGGTAGCTGAAATACCCTACAGAATCAGTGTCTGGAAACCTGACAATTCTTCCCACTGTCTGTAGAAGGTCTTATCTTCTACTTCTTCATGATTAAGGCTATCTACAGCAGACACTTACAACATCACCCATGTTGCTCTGCCCTCTAGTCCTTACCCATAAGCTCTCAGATGGTTCATTATCCATCCCATGGCAGACCTCCATGCATCACTGCTGCTCTTTCACTTAAGAGCA